CGTTTGATGCTGAAAACGCACATCTGGATGTTGAAAACGCACGTCCTGGACTGTGCGTTGGATGTTGAAAATGCACATCCTGTACTGTGCGTTGGATGTTGAAAACGCACATCTTGGACTGTGCGTTCGATGTCGAAAACGCACATCCTGGACTGTGCGTTGGATGTTGAAAATGCACATCTTGGACTGTGCGTTCGATGTTGAAAACGCACGTCCTGGACTGTGCGTTTGATGCTGAAAACGCACGTCCTGGACTGTGCGTTTGATGTTGAAAACACAAGTCTTGAACTGTGCGTTTGAGTCTGATTAGCAACCAGTTTTGATTACTAATTTCTTGCTTTCTGTTTTGCAGTGCTTTTCCTGAATGTGCCGCTTTCGCCCGAGCAACATTATGGATATACTGACAACCCTAACGGGGGCACACTCCGTGGTATTCGTAGAGAAATTCCACTGTGCACAGTCCCTGACTTTGAACGGACCTTTTTGATCAGATCTGCTGGAAGCTCTACTCTTAGAACTCTGATCACTGACTTGGACATGGAAACACCTGCAGGCCATGATCAGTTCGTCAAGCCGGCATTTTTATTTGGAGACCGTATAACGGCAGATGATCAAGTTGGATATGTGGAAGATTCCCAGCTGTTGACCGAAATCAGTAACCGTTTCTTCTTTCTTCCAAGCATGAAGAGGATGTATCCACTTTCTTACTTTTCAAACGTCCGCTGTCGTAGGGGCTTGGCCTTCGATCTTGTCAAGGAACAGGAGAACGTATCATTTGGATTTGGACGCCGGTCCCGTGTACAGATTGGAGGGCAGCTCAAAGGTCTGAGACCAGGGAGGTTTGAGAAAAAAGATCTCGCTCAAGAAGCGCCCCTTCCAGCGAATGTATTCATTCGTCAGTTTATTGCTGCCCGTGGTGAATTTCCCACACAAAGCTTTCGGTCTCCTGGTTGGCTATCGTCGGGAGAAGGTGGTTGGTGGACCCGGATGGTGGACTTTGTCCTTGAGGAGCTTAAAGAGCTGCTGGCTCAATCCGGTCTTACCACACCAGTACTAGCTACCCGGTATGGGGTTGTACAGGGCTATCCCAGTTTCTTCGCTATATTGGAGCGATATAATCCGGATAGCTATACATTTTTCACACCTGTTGGAGAATTGGGATTTGCTCTTCACGAGATGCACACGGTATCGGGGCTATCTCTTGGGAAGATTCCTTATGAAGAATTCATTCCAACTACTGAAGAGCTTTCTATCCTGAAAGCGGCGCACCCGGAAATATACGCCACTTTCTGGGAGCTGATGTGCCACTTCCGCATTTGTGCCCAAGTTATCGGGATGCGTGGGGGTGGTATCATGCACACTGCGTGGGCTGATTATCTCTTCTAGAACCTGAGTCAGAAAGACTTAGCTGTGGTCCGTCTTGCTGCCAGCTCTTTGAAGAATATTAAGGCCCGCATCAAGGCTCCTAATGCTATCTACAGAAATAAGCATCGGGAGGATAGGTTCGAGGCTGATACTGAGTTTGATAGCTTTCACTATCAGGCCGCAACTCCCATTTCTGACTCTGCTCTACTTGCTGGCTTCTTGATGATATGGCTGAAGCGGTGTGTTGTGCCGTCGAAGCCAGTTGAGTCTATTTTATTTTGGCTGATGTTGTCTACCCAGCCGTTCTTTTGGCTCATGGGCGTCCTTTAAGTCTTCTCACTGCCATGGTGAGTTGTTTGCAGAGGGGCTTACGAGACTTATCCTCGGAGTTTCTTGATGTCCGAGAAATAACTGCTGCTGGGAAGAAAATTTGGAAGACTTCCCAACCTCGCATACCAGTGCCGTATACTTACTTGATGGCCTGGTTTGTGCTGCATTGTCCTTCACTAATGACGGGGATCATGCAGAATAATGAAACCTCTGTTCCTTTTGTGCAGAGGCTTGAATCGGCCACCTGGTCATACATGTATATAGTCCGTGCCAGGCAACTCTTATCCTTAGAGGATAGTTATAATGTCTTCTGCTGCCACCCCTGTTTTGACGGGGCTGAAGAGGAAGACACAAAATTTGTAGATATGGTCTTCGAGGGTTCATCGTCCCTAAACGAAGGACTTTTTCAGTGGCTCCTCTCCATCAGAGTGGGCTACTTGGTCTTTCGACTAGGCGACAGGTGCATTATTGAACCCTACGTCCCTTCTCGCTTCGCTCGGCAGTTCGGGTACGACCAACTTTATGTTGGTAACCCTAATCCACAACTGGCTCAGATTGGCAATTTATATGAAGGGGCTCGCGCTTGGTCTTTCTTCCTTGCTAGGGGGACTCATGTGCAATTCACCTTGCCCAATTTTCTGCCAAGTTATTCTAATGTTGAAGATTTCCGGACCTGGTTTACTGAAGCTTCTCGGATTTCAGAATACGACCTGTATAGTTCGTGTATCAACGAAATTCGAGAGCTCTATAGATCAAGGAGAAGTGGCGGCAGGACTCGCCTACCCGGAATAGGGGATTACTTGTCTTGTGAACAAGAGATGATCAAGATGATCAAGGCTGTTGAAGGCCCGGAAGGACTGCCCACTACCGAGTCTTCAGAAAAGGAAATTTCTAAGGAAACTCCAGAGGAGTCACCCGCTGTTAAATCTTCTGAGGGAGAGGCTTCCAACGAATCTCCTATAGAGGCACCTGTTGCTGAGGCTTATGGAAAAAAGGACACCGGTAAGCAAGTCCTCACCACAGCTGAAGCAGATGAATATGAAAGGCGGCTTCGCAAACGAAAGCCTGCTGTGGCCAAGAACTCTAAGAGGGCCAAGTTGATGGGGGATGCCATGAAGTCTGCATCTGTTGTTCCTCCCGA